GTCTAGTGTCTTGATCAGTTTGTGAATTAGGGTCAAGTGTCTAGTTTCATTGTGCATTTAAGGATTAGGTGAATGAACTTTTACCTAGGGTATGTTCCTAAAACCTTGGGAGATTACACTGCAGAGATTAGGTAGATGGATTCTCACCTAAGGTGTGTATTTAAACTCTAGAAAGCTTACACTGAGGATTAGATGGATGGATTCTCACCTAAGGTGTGTATTTAAACTCTAGAAAGCTTACACTGAGGATTAGGTGGATGGATTCTCACCTAGGGTGTACACCTAATGTCTAAGAGGTCTACACTAAGGACTAGGTGGATGGGTTCTCACCTAAGGTGTGCATTTAAGCTCTAGAAAGTCTACACTTAGGGTTAGGTGGATGGGTTCTCACCTAAGGTGTGCATTCAAGCTCTAGAAAGTCTACACTAAGGATTAGATGGATGGATTCTCACCTAAGGTGTGTATTTAAACTCTAGAAAGCTTACACTGAGGATTAGGTGGATAGATTTTCACCTAGGGTGTGCACCTAAGGTCTAGGAGGTCTACACTAGGGATTAGGTGGATAGACTCTCACTTAGGGTGTGCATTTAAGGTTCTAGGAAACCTACACTTTAATTTATGCTTAAAGTGGTTTAAGGTTTTCTACATATTCCAATTAGTTAAATCATCAATCCCCGTGTTTATGACTTAACCATTTAAAAAGAAGTAAAACAAAAGAAAGATGAGGCAGACCCACTTCCAAAACTAGTAAAATCAAGGGAATAAACAACGAGTGGATCGACCTAAAAGCGTTTAAATAATAATCAAATGAAACTCAAGATTGTAGGCAAAACAGCTTCTTAAATCCAACTCTAAACCATGCATAAATCAATGCTTGAAGGTTCCATAAATTTCGCAAAAATAATGCGTAGATTGCCTCAAAATCAGCCCATAAAAATGCCTCAAAACAACATATGATTTGTGTCCCAAATAATACCATGTAATCCCATACAACACCTACAATTCTAACAACACCCCAAACAGTCATCTTAAGCTTCCTACAGGCCTAAACAGCAATTCTAAACATCCGGACGGCGCCCAACAACCATCCTAAGCTCCCAATCGCCCTTATGTCACAAAAACTAACAATATCAGTGCCTCGCCAACCTTCCTACAGCACCCATGACACTCCAAATTATTAATTCCAGCAATTGTAAGTTAACTACAGCACTTAGAAGCCACTTACAGCAGCTAACGACCATCTTTAGTAGCTAAACAACTACTTACAACATTCAAAATCTCAATTTCAGCACCCAAATGTTAATTCCAAGCCACATATAGCTCTCAATGACTCCTAACAACATTTAATTACCACTCAACAACACTTTCAAAGGAAAGGAAATGATCACATGCATACCATTTAATTCAATCGTATCCACATATTCAACCCCTAAACTTTTACTCCCCCCCTTTTTTTTATCTGTTGTTTAAACTAAGAGAGTAAATTCTTGAGCTGACTCACTAATTCTATTGTCGGTGAAGCACATGAAGTATTTCTATAAACATGTGATGAAGTTTTAGTTGTTCAATATGTAAATACGTAAGAATGATATAGTATGCATCTGAATTTTCCAAATTCCTCATACAGTCAGTCCAAATATATTTCGATTTTGCATGAATGAGAGGGAATGAATTCCCAACTCACATAAAATCAAGCCAAACATATTTCAAATTTGCATAAATCGAATGGAATAAATTCTTAGCTCACATAAACCAAATCAAATATATTTCAAATCTTTCGTGAATCGAAGCGTGAGAGTTTCAAACATTCAAGATAAAAAAATTTTCAGACTTTGTTCATGATCATAAAAAAAAATCAAGCTTTTAAGGGACTTAATCAGAAATGTATAATAAGTCATGATGTTTCAAAGCCTCTACCATCATCTTTTACCCAATCAATGGGAGCATAAAAAGAAAACTTGGCTGTAACAAGGTCAAATATATATATATATATATAT